TACCTACTACTCTCTCTCTCTCTCTCTCTCTCTCTCTCTCTCCCCCCCCCTATAAACAACCTGCCCCACTAAATCTCTCTCTACGTCCCTATCTCTCTCTCTACTAACAACTTATTCCACTAAATTTGTTCTATATAGCTTCTTTCAAAAACCAAAACTCCTAAGTTCATACAAAAATGGAAAAAAATAATTGAGTTACAAAGATTCATTTCATTGTCATGTGTTGCATTTTAAATTTCATTTTGATTATAAAGTGAATTTAACAGACAACAAACACTTAGACATGAGACAGATTCTTGGTGTTTACATATTTTTGACACAACAATGAAAAACCATAATGCAATTACCACTATTGTTTTTTGTAAACTTGAAAAATTAGATTTTTGAGAAATTATAATGATTTTTTTGATATTTTTTTGAGGTTGAGACTGACCGATCCGACTAATTCTCCAACCCAGATCGCTGATCCACCGATCCGACACAGTTTTTGGGGTGACCGATTGGGTCACTGATCCTTTTTTTTAGACCGTGATTGGGAGTATTAAAAGTCCACATATTCTGGTGAAACTGTTGGCTCATAAAGTCCAACTGAAGTCTGGGGTTCTTTATTGACAGTCCAATTCAATATAAAGATATGGCCAAATGTACTTATTTAGCCTCTTGACTGTGGTCCCTGTTATAGTATGATATTGTCTTGAAACTGTTATGGAAAGTGATCCTCTTAATCATTTTATTCTGTAGAGTATATAATGAAGGAGATTTCTACTTTTTATAAGCACAAGTGAGAACTCCTTTATGGTACAAACTACTTAATTGTAGTGTAAATTGAATGCTCTTCAACAGTGTACATGTGTTTTCACTAGTACTCCATGTGATTCTATTCTATCCAGGTAATGTTGGAAAATTGGATCTCTGGGGCTACTCAAGATTTGAAAATTGCTATCAAATGTCCTATTTGTAATGATTTCTTGCTATCATTGGAGAATTTCAAGGTGTTGTGGATGAAGCTCTAGGATGATGATAGAAGCCTGAGAGCAAAGTTTCTGTGTTGATTATTATGCAAACTTGTGCTTGCTGTATTTTTCATTTACTATTCTAATGGCATGGACAGAGAGCCTTGTACTCTAGTATTCCATCTCACCAAATGCATTTGTTCTTTAATTCATTACAGATTTGGTCAAAGCAGTTCCTGAGGCTCACAAGAAATTCCTCGCAGATCTAGTTTGGGTGCATGAAGAGGTATCCCAAATGACTATGTATCTACACTGTTGGAATAACTTATTTTGGAAGTTTTTCTTCTATGCATGTTTTTTCTACTGGTTGTGCTTTTCCATCTTGCATGGTAGTTTAAAAGAGATGAACCAAACTTACCATCTGACCATGCTTTTTTTTCCCTTTAACGATCAAAATAAAGAAATTGTGGGTTTGCCTGTGATGGTGGCTTCAGGAAAATGCTTGTATTGATAGTTCAGATGGAAGTAGCCATGGACTGATAGCTGTACATGCGGGCTTGGAGAAAGGAAGGGAAGTTGGGGATCAGCTTAAATTATTGAGATCAAGGGACACTAGCCTGCCAAAAGTGGAACATCTCAGTGGAAGGAAAAATGTTTGGGACTTACCCGAGGTATCTACTCTGTCCTCTGTGTGGGTGAGTGTATACGTGTGCGTACTTGTGTGTGTGTGTGTGAGAGAGAGAGAGAGTGTTCACTTGCCTTTTCCTGTGAAAGTCCCAAGTTGATTGCTGTAATCAGCTCTTGATTACATGCTTGTAGTCCTGGTTGTTGGATAGTTTTGATATCCTTTTCATAGTATTTCTTCTTGAAATACATGTTTTTTTGGCTTCTCGTTCCAAACTGTGGCTTTTAGGATTTTAAAATTTCATTGAGGAAGGAAAGAACCAATCAGCGTTCAAGACTCGGCCGAATCCACTCGACTTGGCCGAGTTATATGGCACTACTCTGGGTATATTAAAAAATAGAAAAAAAATCCTAAAAATGTAAAAAAAATGTGGGATTGATGTATAAAATTTTTGTGTATAATTATTAGGATGTTATTGGGAAAGATTGGTGAGTGTTTTTTTCTACATGCTCTATTTTTATATTTTTCTTTTTTTGGATTTTTCTATAATGTCCCCAACTATAAATTATTTTTTTTTTCAAATCCATGATTTATATTATTTTTTAAGCTAATTTGGACTTTTTTAGTTGTTGATTTTATTTGACCTTTACCATTTGTATTTTATTTTTAATATTTGACCTTTACTAGTGTAAGAGCGTGGGTTCCAGTCTTGAGAGCAGCCACTTTGTGCATAAAAAGTCAAAGGTTAGGACTGTCTGTAGCTCCCCTCCCGGTACCCTGTGTAGGCAGGACCAGCACCGCGTTACAGCTTTTTTTTTATTTTTTTCTTTCTTTTTCCTTTTGGGGAATTTATCAAATTACTGTGATAGATATACAATTTAATGCCTTACCCTTTTGGTTTAATCTCAAATTACCCATTAGAAAACACATGATGGTGATTTGGAATAGTTGCAAAACGGTAGAAGTTTAAATAGTTTATCTCTTTTGGGTATTTTGATAGATTTCCCTTTTCATTTGTCAAGGGCTTTGTCCCTCTACAGAACTTGGGTAACTCGCCTCAAGCCAAGGACTTGGCTTGAGGCAAGTCTCGGGACCTTGGAACCAATATATATGCCAAACTTCAGCTAAATTTGGCCTACACAGGGTCTGAAAACGATATAAAAGCTTAGAAAGCGAAATCATGATTTTGGGCTAAAACATGTTTCTAGACTCAATGTCAAATTGCTCCAACATCTTAAAGATTATGCCATATTCTTTGCTTTCCCTAATTGGCTATTTTTCGGTGGTTTGATAAAAAAGTAAATGAGGTAGCTTAATACTGCTATTTGTGAATTATCTTCTATGGTTAGTAAATTTTTTATGAAATTGAATATCTTTTGCGCATTTGCAGGAATTATTGGAGAAAAAAACATTTCTAGTGAGCGGCCACCATGGGACTCTTCACATTGACGGCCTTAGGCTTATAATTGATGAGAGCGGAGGGCTTGAGAATTTACCCTTGGCTGCAGTCGTTCTCCCTTCCATGAAAGTTGTGAGAGACACTGATGTTTTAGTGAATTAATCTCAGTACTCCTTGGTATCTATTTTTTCTTTTCAAATATCTCCATTACATTAGACAGATGCTATTGAAAAGATGAGCAGGTGGATCTAATTTCAATATCCTCGTATATGATTGATCCTGTCACACACGATCGATCCTATCAGATGTCTTAATCACCATGCTCAATGATATTGGCATTACATATTAAATATTACATGTTATTTATCATGCTTATATTTCACATGTATGCTTCTAGATCACTCTCATGAGGGCTGTTCTTAAAGACTTCAAATATCATGAGGAAATTTCTCTTTTAATATAAAAAACAATGCTGCTGCATAACCGCATAGTCAACATATATAAACCAGAAACTTCAAGTTGGGGGGCTGGTGGGCTCTTGGGCCGACCACACTATTAGGCTTGTGGGCTGGGCTCAGGCTGCAATCTGTGCAACTATTGTGGGATTGGGTGTACCTTGTCCTGGCGCGTTGGTTGCTGTAAGCTTGCCATTTGTACTGGGCGAGCCCATGGGTTCAGAGCTGGGCCTGGTTCCGAGCTGTATTTAGGCAGCATTATTAGACTTGTGAGCAGCGCTCCACTATCCGGACAAACATTTTAAGCATGAGATTGCCCCGCCTTGGCCAGCCCTTGCACAGTCAAGAGGAGATCGAGAGAAGGTATGCCGCAACATCAATCCCTGTAGAAGGCACAAACTTCAGCTTCATTTTCTGTGCAATTTCCATGAGGACCTGAGTAGCCATTCTCTCCCTGGTATTTATTCATCGGACTATTACGAAAAAAAATCACGGTTGATCGGTAATCACCTAATCTGGACCGGGATTGGGCCTTGAGGAAGTAGCAGCAATTCGATTGTTATATATTATATAATAGCGAAATTTATATCCTATGTGAGGGCTAGCGTTTCCTGGGATTTGTACACTGTATTTTTTGAAGGGGAAAGCCTCTTGGAGAGAAAACCCCAAGATAGAGAACACCTAAGAGAGAGCGTCTTAGAGAGATAAAGTGTTGGTTTTAAGCTTCGTAAGCCTAAAAGAGAAGGGAAGAGAAGCCTCTTAGAGACCGTGAAAGCCCAAGGTAAGGAAAACCTAAAGAGAAAAAGCCTATAGAGAGTGAGAGGTTCGTATCCCAAAAGAGACAGATTTCTCTTGGAAGAAAGTGGTTTGATCCACCAAATACTTGTAATCTTTTTCATCACAGTGAATTGCTTGTCATTTCCCTAGATGTAACTTGAAAAAGGTGAACACGTAAATCTCATATCCAATGCTTTTATTTAGTTTTTTTGCTTAGTAGTATGTTTTCCCACTCCCACACAAAAATGAAGTTGTTTGGTGTTTTACCCTATAAGAGTAAGGATTTTCATTGCACGTATCTTTGCAAGAGGGCTGGAATGGTTGAGTTCGACATTTTAGATCTTAAAAGTCTAAAGTTATACCTAATAGTTCGATTTTGAATCTTGAAAGTCTGAAGTTTTTTTTTTTATCATAAACCAAAGTTGGGCATTGGAAGTCTGAACTCTGAAGTCACCCAAAACACGATTCGAACAACTTCGAATTTTGTCCGAAGTTGAACTTGTGACTTAGAAAATATAGTTGAAGGTTTTGTTTTTTCATATTTTGCCTCCGTTTATTCATTGCTTAGTCTCTACAAAAGAGATATTCTCTCTAAACTCACATTCAAGATGTCCCTATAGCACTCTCTCCTCTTTCTCACTCTCATTTCCTCTTTACTACCCATCAATATTTCTTGCGTATAAACATGAGTTGGAGAAACTGTATAACCTTGGTTTTAGCAAAAATTATGAAAGGATGCCCAAAAATTTACCGCTTTGATCAAGTTCGTTAGATTACTAAATTTGATACTGGCAGAAACGAAGGCCTGTTTTGATTGGATATTCCTTCTCTTTTGCATGATTTAGCCCAAATAAAGAAGTAAAAAAGTACTGAAGGAATGGAGGGAAATATTAGAAAACAGAGGCTTCAAATATATGGGATTCAGTATAAAGAAACCATTTATCTTTGGACACGGTTAGCACGCGGTCAAGACCGCACCTGTAGAAATACGGGCTTGGCAATAAATATGTTTTTTAAATATATTTTGATCCCAACTTTTAGAGAATATATAATCTTTAACGAATATGAAATTTGTTTTTTTTTTAAAACCATAAATAATACTTCTATTAAGAAAACATTTGGACTTTTAGTTACAATTGTTTTTAGATGGATAACTTATTTGCATCTATCTTTAAGATGGATGCTTTATACCTCTGGACCGCATATTGTAGAAATACGGTCCAGCCTGTACGAAACAATTGTTCTTTAACTTTTGTGCATGAGGTCACAGTCATTCTCACTATTAGATGTTAAATTGGATGGATTGGGGTGAGTCACAAAGTCTGAGAATTTTTTTTTGAAATTGTGCATATTCAATGACATTTTTACAACTACCTATTATGAAATGGACATGGTTTCTATGAGTCTATGTAGAATGAGTCACCTCTTAAAAATCTATTTTTGAGATGGATTTTTTGACTTAATTTTTAAGGACATGTAATATCTAACATGGAGATCATGAATATGAAAAATAAATAGAGTTTGAAAATTACAAATAATAATTCTATTAAGAAAAACATTTGGACCATTTGGCCAGTAATAATTCTATTAAGAAAAACATATAATAATTCTATTAAGAAAAACAGGCAAAAAAATATAGGTGGAAGAGGGTTCGGAAGGTCTGATTGCCTGAACCACCTCCGGATTAGAGTGTGATCTCAAGGGTTCAAAAGTTTTAGTTTAAGAGTTGGGCAAGGTTCGAGCTTGGTCTAGGTTTGATTTGACAAAATTTTCGTATGAAAATGTAAGATTTCACTCTCTGGAATCAAGGTCAAGTGCCTTATTTATAAGCACAACAGTCTTAGGATCACCATTGGATTGTTTTTGGTACAATATAGGCCCTTCAAATTCAGTCGCTATTTAGACTTGCTTTGGCACCACTAGCTATGGCGCTAGACTCGCATTAATTGGCATTAATTGCTGTCAATAGAATATAATGCTCCGGAATCATGTGATCTGGCCCGAGTACAACTTTGTGGGTAGAGTGTTAGAGGCCCAGCGCCATGGGCATTGGTGTTGGTGCCAGTTGGAGCCGCTTACAACTAAATAGGCCATGTGTCGTCTTTTGAGTGTTCTTTTGTACAATCAATGGACTGATTAGAATCTGTTACATTTTCGACTTCCTTTGGCACCCTTTCGAGGTTTGGGCTTTCTCGTATGATTGGCAATTGATTTGATGTCTCTTCGATGAATCCGAGGGTGGCATACCAACATGTACTGACATATGACATATAAGTACCCACCAACATGTGTCAGTCCGTATTGACACGCGATACAGGGTTGTACGTCCAGGTTGTTTCCATGTTTGACTGTCAGTAACCTAGTACAGGTCTGAGGGGCATGGCGTCGGGCCCTTCTCTCTCCATTCGTGTCTCTTTTGTGCCCATTTTCTCGTGGCGCCATTGGGAATTGCGCCGGTGCCACTGGCAGTGGCGCTAGAACCCTTCACTTTCGGCATGCCTTCAACTTGGTACTGGGTTTTGATTTTCCATGTCTTGCTTTCCAGGGGAATTCTTCAGAGTTGTAAGCTCTGTCAATTGATTTGGGGCTCATGGGGGCTAGTTTACGGATGGGTCAAGATGAATGAGAGTAATTCAAGTACCGGGGTAGTTTGCCTGGGGTACTTTCGTTTGTCATAATTTTCTTGATTGGGATCGGGGTGTTTACACTAATGCATACAAAGCAATATGTGCCAGCAAACCCTAAAATTCAAACATAACCCCTAACCCCAGCTGTCTGAATGTTTAGCTGTGGGTGAATCACTCTCTCTCAGCATTGGAGCTTTTGATCTAATGAATAAGGAGACCTTTCATTGGGTTAGTCTTCGTCTATATCTACAATTTTTTGCTAAATATAATTTTTAGGGATGATGTTTTTCCTATAATATGTTGGTAACTCTTTTTTAAATACATTTGTTTTTGGAATATATTGCGAATATGTTGGTGAAATTTTTAATAGAACTGTCGTGAATTTCGTGCGGAATCATGATTATTGATTTAATCCCACTTTTTGGTAAGCTTGTCTCAAAACCTAAATTCAAACATTTTAAATCAATGTAGAGAAGGAGGAAAAATGAGAACATTAAACAAGGAAGCAGTTTTTTTAGGAATTTCTTTTGAGAAAAAAGATAAAATACGCGTCAATATCATTTCTATAAATGTGATTTTTAAAGACCTTTTTGATAAAATCGGAGTTTTTATTGAATTTTAAAAAATTGGAGAGTTTTTAAAAACTTGGGTTTTGATTGGAGACTTGCTAACTATTATTGAGCTTAAGGTTATGTTTTTGTATACACACCCCTAAGTTACCTGAACCATTAGGGGTGATACTAGTATATTAAACCCTACTGCACTGCACCATAGCCTGTGGTTCATAATCTCCAAGAATCTTTGGGAATTTGAAAACCTTCCCAAGCTATCCTAATTTATCCATATTTACTCTAATTTGTCCTAATCTATCCAAACTTATTCATCAATCCAAATCTGTTCAATTCTATCTGAACTCTATACAAACAGCAAAAACAGTAGAAAATGGCCAATCGAAAGCCCAAAAAATATCAAAATCAAATCAAACTTGTACCAGACTGGACCACCCAAACTGCGGCATCATCGATGTGGACCAGCAAGGCATATCGTATCGTTGCTCCCAATGACCTCCAGAAAGTTCTAGAAATCCAACAGTCTGGTGTGGTACTTTTGTCTATATATAGACTTATTCCAGTGCAGTTCGGGTATACTTCATAGACAAATTTAAGAGATCCTATTAGCCTTAGTTCTCTAATCTTTGGCCTTCAAATTCTAGGACACCTAGAAGTTCTAGAGACCCTAGGACTCCTATTTCAAATAGAATTAGGGACTAATGAAGCCTAAAATACCCAAGAAACCAAATGTTATTCATTCATTCAATCAATCCCTTAGGTTAGAGACACCTAGAAACCCTAGAATTAGATCTTCCCTAACTTTTGGCCTTCTAAACCCTATTAACCCTAATCCATTGAACCTTCAGCTTCCAAGTAAGTAATTCTTTTTTTTTTTTTCTTTTAATTTTCAGTTTTTCTTTCTTTCTTTCTTTCTGTGTTCTTTTCAGTTTTTCCTAGTTTCTTTATGGTTTT